CGAACAACGACGGCGCGGAAGGCCGGCTAACCAGCTCCGACAAAGGCAGAGGGGCGGTTCGTTAAGGCGAGGCTTAGGAGAGCGACAGGAAAAGAAAATAATTGCTCCGGTATTTAATAGTAGTGAAGGTAACATGTATTTTCGGTGCTCTCGCAGGCGAGAGAATACAGTGGCGAGTACCTCGCGTGGTACTCGCGGGACGCGCGGGACGAAGCGCGTATTACGGCGCCGATCCTTGGCGGACTAACGCCACGCCAGGATGCCTGTGCGAGTTATGGGCGATCGCGGGTGAGATAAATGACACGGGTGTGTGTCGGATAACAGATCGGGAGGACGAGAATCGAACGAGATCCTTCGGGATCGCGCGAAGTGTCGTGGTGAAGCCGCGGCACTCCTTGCAGGGTTACTACGCGGCGCGCAAATAGTCCTTTCGGGCGCGAGGCCGAGAATCGGCTGTCGCTTTACATTGGCGGGTTGCAAGGAGGGATTATCATTCGATTCTGTCTCCCCGTCCGAGATCACAATTCCAAGTACTTGCCCGAGACAATCCGGAGGTCCGAGGTACAGCGGGCGCGAGGACGGCGATCGGCGCGCGGGCGCACGCGGTTCACGCGTTCGCGGCGTGCACGGGCGCGTGGCCCGAGACCGGCGGCGAAGCCCGTTTATCGCGACACAAGGAAGTTAACGCTCTCGACACCGAATATAATTCACGATACACGGAGACTCTAACAAATCCGACACACACAGAACGGCAAAACGCACGCTCTCGCGACTTACAATTACGCGATACAAGCACGCGATGACTCGGCCGGGCGAGGGCGAACGCAAAGGCGACAATCGTAACGATGCGAAATCTAACGCGATCGAGCGGGCGGTGCACTCTCTACTTCGCGGAACAGGTAATGCTCGCAACTCTATCGTACACGGCACTCGCGGCCGCTACGTTGAAGAAATCTTTACTCTTGCACGGCCCTCTCGTTTCGCGACACTTGGCGACTTTACAAATTAGCGACGTTCGTCTCACCGAATGCTCTCCTGCTCCTCACTCCTCTCGCTTCTCGATACACAAATTCAGTTCCTTTCGGCTCAAGGCGGTGGATCCTGCGTCCCTTACACAATCTGTCAGATCGCCAAGACAGCCACGGCACGAGTGTCCGTCCCTCGTAGCGCCGGGAGCACGTTGGTAGCGGGGCCATCTGCCGGTTTCCGCTATCTCTTCCTGTCACGTGAGTCCCTCTTTCGCGACCCCCTGCGCCGCAGGAGGGTAGCGGCAGTCGCGGGCCCCGTGATAACGGGCGCGAAGTTTTAAGTTGACTTGCTGGGAGGGTTTCAGGCCCTCGATACATGGAGCGAGCCCTCGTGTCAGCTCCCCTGCGCCCTTGCACTATCGGGGCCTCCTGGCAGGGCCGTCGGCTCGCTCCGAAAACTCTGTA